CCTTTGATTTGAAAAGCTTTAAGAGTTAATTCTACAATTGGTAATCAAATATGGCAACCAAATATTTAAGTGCCAAGCATATGTGGACAAAGAAAGAGATGAATGAAAAGCACCAAAAGAGACTTTCTTCACTTTCTCACAAATGGAAGACTCAAAGGAAGAAAGATCAAGTGGCTAGGATCACCATGAATAAGGAGCATCACATCATATTTGATCTCGATAAGTATCACTATCTCTAACTCTTATGAAATTATATAGTATGGATAATATGATACTTGCTCCTTCCTTACATGAGATGGAACTTTAATCAATAATCATCTTGCTTCTAAGTAATACAATTCTTATGAAAATCTTTTTGTTATGAAATGAGCTTTTGACTTGATTTTCAAGAAAAATCCCTTATGTCATTTAAAAAAAAAGGCTTTTGAAAACCTTATACCCTTGAGAACTATTTCAAGATGTTGAAAGTATCTTTCACCTTTTTGTTATCTTGAAAATTGGAGAATGTTTGGATACATGATATAAATGTAATAGTCTATCTACTTGCTTTGAAAAGTGCTATCAAATATTGAGAGAAAATTTAATGAAGTTCCAAACATCAATATTTTGAAATGATTTACAAATGTGAACATTTGAAAATTCAAAAGATGAGTCTTAGTCTTCAAATTTTCTATATTATTTCAAGGCCTTTTAACTAATGAGAAAAAGAGGAGAGATGTTTCAATATTCTTTTGATTACACTCAAAGAATATGCTTTCTTAAATGGAAAAAGTCTTTATCTTTCTTAAATTCTTTTTGAAATGAGAGTTAAGTTTAAGAATGTCTAAACTTAATGGATTAAGAGAAAGTACATTTTGCCCAGCTCTTATTTATGATAATGTGCTTATATGATTTTACCAAACATACTTCATTTGATCTATTTTGTGTTTCAAAAAGGAAAAGTTCAACTTTTTTGTTTAAGAAAATTCTTATAACTTATCGTTATTAATTATTTGATTCAAGTGCCTTTCATATCATGCATAACAATGGATACATTTCTCTTAATACGTGCATGTGTAATCATATGACTTATATTTTACTAGTATGCATGATTTGAGGGGGAGCCTAGCATTTATTTGTTATATCCATCACTTGGCTTATAAAATAATTATGACAATGGAAGAGTGAATAATTTTTGTTTTTAAAGAGACTAACTCCATTATGCCTAGAAAGGATGTTTGTGATGATTATATTGTAGGAAAGTTGACCTACATCCTTTTGGTGATAAACAAAAGTGAAAAAGAGGAGAACAAAAGAAAGAAGTCATAATTGAAAATTCACCTCAACAACAAGAACAAAGCCAAGAGCTTACAAAGGAATGGAGAATAACGATATTGGAGATACTTCAAAAAAGTTTAATTTGCAAAATACTCCATAAATTAGCTAAGTCTCTAATCTCTCTATTTGCTTGCATATGACATGATATTGCATAAATTAAATATGTTGAATGATTTATGCTATTAAAGCCACTTTCTTAATACATGTCTACGAATCTTATGCTTGCTATTATCAAAGTCATGCTAGTCATATGCCTACAACTTGCACATATTATTTGATGCTTCAAAAATGGGAGAAAATCATTTGTCATATCTTTTGCCATATTCTATACAATGTTCAACTAGGATTTGATGCTTCGTATTACATCATTAATTGCATATCCTAGATCTTTGTGATATAAATGCTTTGTACTTGGACCATATGCTTATATTTGGATGTTTTGACTTGAATGGATAATTTATGTTGGATTTATGATATATTGAACACTTGAAGATTTAAATCCACTTCCAAAGCATATTTGCATTTACTTGAATCATTTGAATGCTTTGTTATATATCTTGAACTATTCAATGCCATTGATGTTGCCAAAGAAGGAGAATAAGTACTAATTGAGAAAAGATAATACACTTCTACCTAACATGTGGCAAAAAGGTAAAATCAAAGATGAAAGAGGGAGAATGCACTAAAAAGGTAAAAATGAGGTTTGTTGACCCTAGAATTTTCACACTTTTGTCTTTGAAACCATTCATGGATTAAGGGGGAGCTTTGATAGTTGCTTTGATATTATTGTGCAAAATAAAAAGTGTTCTTTATTAACATGCTCAATGGAATTTTGTTGCTCACAAGTTTGCGTGCTTATCTTGATTTATGCTTTTTGATGTTGCCAAAGGGGGAGAAAAATATGAAAATTGAGAAAATTATATTCTTCCACCATATACATATATATTGATTTGAAACCATTCATAAATTGAGAGGGAGTATGATATACATTATTTAGGAATATTTGTTATACTAATCCTTTCTCAATTTTAAGTTTGTCATCATCAAAAAGAGGGAGGTTGTAGATACAAGGTATGTTTTGATGATAACAAAGTGGCAACAACAAAAAGAGAAGAGCTTTGATCAAGAGCAAAAAGCATCAACCATATGTGGATATTGAAGATGTATGATGTAGCCAAACAAGAAGAATAATGTCATATCAAAGTGGCAAGATCATTGGATCAAGAGCAATAAGAAATAATTAGAAGAGCAACACCAAGATCGAAGACAACTAACCATGGAGAACATCTAAGAGAAGCTCAATATCATAACCATGGTGAAAAATGATCAAAACCAACAAAGTGTCAAGCAATGTCATATCCAACAAGTCAAAGCATCAAGTTCAAGAAAAGATCCAAGATACAAGACATGAAGCTAAGTCTAAAATCATATTTAGAATATATCTTTATGACTTAGAATATATGTGAGGGTATATGATAGATTGCATTGCATGAGCTCAAAGTTTTTTCTCAAAGTAAACATGTTTTTCAAATTGCATAATCAAGATGTTTTTCAAATCCATGGAAAAGATACTTGACATATTTTATAAATTCAAAACATATTTATCAAGTCAAGATCATTCACAAAAAGTGGTTGGAAGCAAGCTAGAACACATTTGAACTTAGAATTTATTGCTTAAATTCACTGCTGCCTTCCATACAACTTTTCGTATCCAAGATGATAGATTTGGATTTTGTGTTCTTCATAAAAGTTGTAGATCTCTTTTCTATCTTTCCAAAGAGACCAAGATCACATCAATCCGACTAGTATAACTCAAATTATAGCCAAAATACGAAACAATATTTTTGCTGTCAAGTTGGGAATCAATTACCACTGCGACAAATCTCAACGGCTATAAATCGGCTAGTTTTTCAAAAGTGATCCCAACAGCTATAAACAACTATAAAACAGCTAGTTTTTCAAATGAGATCCCAACGACTATAAACGGCTAGTTTCCCAACGGCTAGTTTTTCCAACGGCTAGTTTCTAACTACTAGTTTTCCAACGGCTATAAACGGCTAGTTTTCAATGGAAACACTATAAATACATTCCTTATGACCCTAAAACATGAATCACCATTCGTACACATCTTAAGGATGATTTGAGAGCTTCTACACTATCACTTGCATATTCTTTTATATCGTTCAAAGATCAAATATATTTGAGCTCATATTTTGAAAATCCATATATCCATAGTGCTTCAAGTTGTATATCCACACTTTGAGAGTGTACATTCATTTCGAAATATTTTCCCATTGTATTCTTGAGTTAAAAGGGTTGTAAGACCATTGTTTGAGAGGTGGTCAAATACCTACGTAAATTTGGAGTGAATTGTAAGGTTGTCAAGTACCCGTAAACTTGAAGATTGAAAGGTATCCAAGAACCCGAAGTCTTGGAAGATTGTAAAGGTTTGTCAAGCACCCGTGAAGCTTGACCATTAGTGAAAGAGTTGAACGAGCGGCTTCAGTCTGGACGTAGGTCACAAGTGGTGGTGACCGAACCAGGATATATTGTGTTTGCAATTCTCTTAACTCTAACCTCTTTATTTCTAGCACTTTAATTGTTTCTTTGATATCTTGTATGTGCTAGAATAAGTTCTATAATTATGATATATTATATATTATGGATTGTTTGAATATATTGATTAGCTTTTCACATATCAAAGTTTGCTTGAAATGATTATTTATAAACTAGAAGGAGACTTTTGCGAAAATCTTGTAATACTTAATTCACCCCCCCTCTTGAGTATGCAAGCCACATTCTTAACAAAAACAGTTTTGAAACAGGAACATTGCCAAATAGATTGTACGAAATAACTGCGTAAAACAAAAACTGAACCACATTTATATTGAAAAGTAAAAATAAAAAACGATTAAAGAAAAAAATGGATATGGTTTGGTTTATAGCATATCCAAACCATTTGATACATGGATATCCAAACCAATCCAAAATAAAAAAGTGGATAATTTTTTTGAACTGTTTTAATAAAAAACCAATTTTTTTAATTGGTTTGGTTCAGTTTTTAAAATGGTGTGGATCATTTGGATATTTTGCACATCCCTAAGCGCAAGCAAAAGAACATCTTGCAGCAAAGCAAAACAAAAAATATTATGATCTTTTTACTTGAAGAAAACTTTTGTACCTACATTCATGATAAAAGGAGGAAAAAATGTTGGAATTTAAAGAAAAAAATGGGTTACAATGAATTTTTTTTCTTCCTATTTAATAATAGGAAATATGTTTTGAATGCCAATACTTAGGTGAAATATTAATGGATTTATGTTTTTTAATATCGCATGAGAAAACATATCTCTAGCCATAGATATAATTTTTAATATGAAATCCACTTGTAATTAAAAAAGAAAGTTAAAAGCTGATTTGGAACTGTTCGTATTTCTGTATGAAAAAATATTCTCTTAGGCATATGAAAACATAAGCCCAATATTAATACTATATGTTGACCTAAAATTTTAAAATTGATTTTCTGGTATTTATATTCAAAATTTATTTATTTTAAAGAACTCTATTTCATCTCAGATTTAGAAAATCATATATTAAAAAAAATTAATTATAATAACGGGTCCAGCACAGCCTATTGGGCCGGGCCAGAGAACCCTTTTATTTATAAAATCTCAATGTTTTCCCTTTCTCCCGCCGCCATAACACACTCTGTGTTTCTTCTTTAATATCTGCTTCAGCCGCTGTCGAATTTCTAGGGTTTTCTGAGAGGGTTTTTGAACTGCTCCAAAATCTTCTGCGAACATGGTGAGTACCTTGTTCCTCGTATCAGATCTGATTTTTATTTTCCCCATGTTTCGTCTTCTATTTGTCTATGTTTGTTAGTTGATGTAAACTGATTATGAAGACAGTAACAGATCATTCATTTGTCACCCTTAACTTGAGGACATTCATTAACAAATTTCAGAAAAAAAAATATGAAAGTGTATAAACAGGTTTAATTTATAATAAGTTGTGAAAGACAACCATTAACGGTAACATCTTAATACTTCCTCTCAAATTGAAGGATACAATATATTAGTTGTAATGTAACAAACACAACCAACAAATATTGCAAAGGAAAGTACTATTTTTAGACCTGATAGAAGTTGGCAAATAACATAAGAAAGGGGTTTGGAAATATTTGCAAGTACAATCACTTTTCTCAAAGCTTTCTCATGTATAATAACATGGAGATGAGAAGAGTAAAGAAAATATAGAAGACAGTTGTGACATATGACCCTTCTCAGCTTGGTTAGATGAAAAAGTATACTACTCTATTAAAAGCAATGAAGGAAAGGGCGAGTATATTCTAACTACCAAAAATTCTCACTACTAACTTAGTATCCATTACATCATCATTGGATCAAAGAGAGAGAATGTTAAAAAGTTTTTGAAGAGAGAGAAAATATTAATCTAATGGTGATTAGATAGGTAGTAAGTTGGTAGTATAAAATTTTGGTAGTTAGAATATCTCTCCAAGTAAAAGTTGAAAACTTAAAGAACACTTTTGAGAACTTGATTTTAAACTTTAAAGAACATTTTCCTAAAGCTTTCGAAATGCAGAAGCTGATATACCAAGAAAACTACGGTACATATTTTCCCAGTTAAAATGAAATTATAAAGCCTTTAAAAAAAAACAAAACCAACATTTATAAGTATTTAATTAAGAACGACTTCCGAATTTGTATTAGGAATACAATGAGATCAAGTTTTTTTTTTTAGTTTATATATGTATATATTATTATAGACAAAATGATATATTATAACTTTTATAAAATATAAAAGCACTCTAAATATGTAAAAATAATATTTAGGCAATATTTTACAAAAGTATGTTTTATTTTCTTCATTTAAGATTAATGTATATTTATATTTTTTAATTTCTTAAAAATTAATTAACTTTATGTACTAAAAAGCAATTTTTGTAGCTTAAAAAACCTTAAATGATGAAAACATAAAAGTGGAAATTATGAAATGAAGTTGCCCTTTTTGTAGTTTCTTTACTTTATATATCAGTTTTTTATTAATTAATTATTTCTGTGTTATAAAATAAATCCTATGGTTCACCAAAAAAATAAAAATAAAAATAAAAATAAAAACCCTATCAATGAAAATCACAACAAAAATCTTAACTAGATAAAAGAGGAAAAACACACAATTGCAGGCCTTTAATGTGCTTTATACGTAAATCAGCCCATGTTAAAAGCATGTTTATAGGTGGAGATATAAAAGCGGGCCTGTTTGATTTCTGTTTCTAAAAACATTTTTTATTTATTTTCAAAACAAAAAAACCTGCTTCATAGGCTTGTTCTGTAAAAATAGTTCTATAAATTATAACTGTTTTCTAGATTTTAGAATTAAATTTAAAGAATATATCTGAGTTGTTTTTATTTTGTGTATTGACTTTTAACTTTCAAAATAAAAAAAATACATAAAACACCTATTTTATTAACTATTTTACAAAGCAGTTTTAAGAAAAATAAATAAATAGAAGACAATCAAACTGACCTGAAATTTCTTATTCTTGTCTCTCTTAAACCCCATTGTTCTCCCATTCCCATCTGAATTTTCCATGGAAAACCCTAGCCGCCTCTCTCCGTTCAATCAAAGACGGCCCACTAAAATGATACATTTTCTCTTCCCTTGTTATTAGCGCTTCCTTTTAAATGATTCATTGAATCTGATGTTTTGTTACTTGAATGTTCAAGTTTCCTTCATGCTTTCTATCTTTAATCTGCTTTGCAGACAGGAGAGGCAGTGAATCCAAAAGCTTACCCTTTGGCCGATGCACAACTCACAATTACAATACTGGATCTTGTTCAACAAGCTGCCAACTACAAGCAGCTCAAAAAGGGTGCTAATGAAGGTATTACTTTGCATCTGCTTTAAAAAGAAGCATGTATAAAAGGGGTTATATTTCATTGGTTGCACCATTTTGTTGATTATTCTTAAGTGTTATTGTATTTTATTTGTTTCAGCAACCAAGACACTGAACAGAGGGATTTCTGAGTTTGTTGTGATGGCAGCGGACACTGAGCCCCTTGAGATTCTTCTCCATCTTCCTTTACTTGCTGAGGATAAGGTAACTTCCCCTACCTTTGTTTTTCTTAAATCCTCATGGTTGAGGACAAGCTTTTCTAATTTCAATTATCAACTTTTCATTTCTTTTTTTAGCAACTACGGATTTTATTTTCTTCCTTTTTTTTTTTCATAATTTTTGGGTAATATGCATGTGATTGCCTTGCCATTGCTATTATTGTGAATTATTACTAATTATTATTATTGCTTGCTCTGAAACAAGATGTTTTAGCATATCACATTGTCCTTGTTAATTTTTTGTAGAACAGTTAATTTCTGTCTTTGGTGAATATTGTTATTTATACAGAGGTGGAACTAAAAGATTTTAGGTGGGGTTGCTATTCTGTAGAGTGTATAATTTTAGAAGATGGGGTGGTTTACCATTATGTAGGGGTGCCTATCTACATAATTTTGTATCTTACACATAGGAAATATTTTGACTTTAGGGTTACTACTCCTTACCACTACTCTTAGTCCAGCTTTGCATGTAGATATGCCAAACTTTGTCGACTATATATCCATTGGTGGTATTTAAAGATAATGGATTCCAATATTTGCATAGTTGCTGTTAATTCTCTTTTTTCCTGGAAGGCGGTTTGCCTTTATATTTAGATTGGATTCATGTCTAGACCTGTGAAGCATGTACGTGTGGAATTTCCTAATTGAGTATTATCAGGCAAAGTCTCTGGTTTTATTCTCTCTCTCTCTCTCTCGACAATTTATACTGGATTTATTTATACAGAGTGAGGCTGTGAGCATAGAATCCACAGATTCAAATTTTAGAATATAGAGAATGGGTCTTGCCTGAAAGTTGGGCGAAAAGGGAAATTTAGGAATTATCTTGTGCTTTCATGCCTATAGAATAGTGTTGTTCATTGCCTATAGAATGATTCTGGAGATACACCACTTCATATGCTGTCATTATTTGATGTAATATTTTGTAATTTGCAGTTACTGTTGTTTGGGACTTCTGTATTATATACTATCTACCTGTACAACATTTTATGTAATGGCTACCCATTTGGTGAACTTTGAAAGGGATTCACTAATGGAAATTGTTTTCGTTGTTTCAGTCTAGTTGTCCATTGGGCGATGTATAGATCTCTAATGATGGGTGGAATGGAATAAAATTACAACACCATTGTTTGTGTATTTTATGATGGATGAAAGAAAGTTTCCATTTGATTGTTTGGGAAGTGAATGGAATGGTAAAGATCTTAATAAATAATAAGCTGATTTCATCCGAAACCCCTAAATTAAGGGGAAGGAAATAGAGGTATGATGGGCCCCTAATGCCTTTTAAATAGATATACAAGGGAAAGAAGAGTGAGTTAATTGCAAGGGGACAGGTGCAAGCTATGAATGGAGAACGGGAATTGAGAGGTAGGAATTGTTCCTTGAGTTGGTTATAAGTAGAAAAAGAGAGCAAATAGGGGTATGCATGAATTAGGCTTTGTGGAATGGGGGGAATTGGTATGTTCTGGAACATAGGGTTGTTGGTTCTGGGAGTGAGCTTGGGAATTGGGTCAATGTTATTTTCTAGCATTATTTCCATCATTAAGTTGTAGTTAGGAGATCATCACGTTGTGTGATTATCCTCATAGTTTAATTGTAGGTGTTTCTTTACTATTTCATTGTGTTGAACCTGGTATAGGAGCTACTCTCCATTCTCTTTTATATCAATATTAAGCTGGTGCCATCAAATTATCGGATGGAATAGATTCCACTCCACTCTATTTAAAACAATCCAAACAGTGACTATTAATAATATCATCTATTCCCCTCCACTTTATCCATTTCTATCAATTCAACCGTAGTCTTAATTTATTCTGTTTTGTTCCTTGATCTTAACTCCCATTTTATAGAATGAAATAAGAAATTACATTTCACCAATGGCCTTTGTAGCCTAGTGACCCCTAATACTCAGTTTGATCCTTCATGTCTCAAGATCACACTTTGACACACCTTTTCTTTGCCCAAACTAGATTTCAAGACTTCTACTGTTAAGCCTCGTTCCCAAGAAAAATAAAGATATTTAAATTTTGTGGTTGAGGTTACTGTGTGATCAACCATATCTCGTAAGTTGGGATGACATTAGCAGATGCAAACATAATGTTAGTAAGTTTTTGACTGCTGTAGATGTTAATTTCATCTTGAAATCTTACCCATATGCAGATTGGAGAATATTTTGGTTTTCTGTTTTTGTTTTAACTAATCCAGATGCTTTCATTTTCAAATCAATGATATTTCTTGGACTTTTATCTATATCAATGAAGTAACCTATTAACCATGTAATTATCTACTTGAATTTTTTAGAATGTTCCCTATGTGTTCGTCCCATCAAAACAAGCACTTGGACGGGCATGTGGGGTCACCCGGCCAGTCATTGCATGTTCTGTGACAACAAACGAGGGAAGTCAATTGAAATCCCAGATACAGCAATTAAAGGTATGCACTGTTCTTTACTTTAATAATATTCAGGTAGTTGCCAACTATATTAGTTATCATCATTCGTTATATTGAATAAAAACGCATTCTGAGTATTGGATTGGTATTTATGCAGGATGCTATTGAGAAGCTGTTAATCTGAAAATTTGATATTCGGTATGATGGGCTTCTTGAGTTGTGCTGAATGCTCCTTCAGAGGCTTTGACTGGGCGAGTTGTTGTGTTCAACGGGATAATCTGAAAGTATATTATTTCTATTGCAAAATATTATTTCAGTGTAATATTTTTCAAGTTAGTGTGAGTGATATTTAAACTGTTATTATAAATTGTAAAACTATATCGTTGGGTGCCACTAGAAATTTGCCACTACTAACAATACCTTGTGTAATTAATTCCATATTTCTCACATTGCCTGAGTTCGGAACCTGAAGAGAGTCAAATTTGCTTATACTTTTTCTCACATTCCCTATTCAATTTGCGCTTAAGGTAGTACAAATTCAAATTGGCGCCGTTTTCAAATCAATAATCTCCAAATTCATCTCGTTTTATATGCGTAGACATTCGTGAACTTGAATCCATGAGAAAGGCAGCAGATGACACTTTTGTTATATTAGATAGTTTAAAAGTTGATTATAAATAATTTTCTAAACATATCTGGGACTTTATCAATCTTGCATCATGGGTTGCAGAAATGGACAAGTTCATGGAAAATTCCCTTACTCTTGAGTAACGCAATAAATGCTTTGTGGAGGAGAAAGTGAGATATGCTTGATTCATGACTATTAAGACTGATGAGACTTTGTTCCAAGTATCTGATGAGCATGTACAATCAATCACTGTGTGAAGAGATCTCACCTTGAGGCCATGCACTATGTGAAACAAAACCAATTGAAGTCTTGTAGATTGGAGAACTTGAAGATAAAGACTAATCTTGATAATTTAAAAAGAAATATGTTGTAGGCTGAAACGGCCTTAAAAGGTTAGAGCTGAGCAAGTAAAGATTACAAGGAAAGTTAAGAGAGACCAGCAAGGCAAATTGCAGCCAAGTCAGCATTGAAGAAGGCCAAACTTGAATTAGAATATTAATTCTCAATATTTGTGTAGCATGTGAACTAGAGTTGTGAGTAGTGTAATTTTTATTTTTATTTTTTTGGTATACCCACCTTTATTACCTCTTTAGCAAATTGCCTTCATATATATTCCAATAAATTTCAACTATGAGTCGGGACTAATCCCGAGTCAGGCTTAATCACAATTAAAATTTTTTGTCCCTTTTTTAAAAATCTTTTTTAAAGATATATTTGGTGGAAATGAGTAATGTAATTTTAACTTGACCTTCTCTTTTTCCATTGTCGATGCATGATCACTCTCCCGTTTATATCCTGCGTAATTAGCTAGTTGGTTAGTGTTTTTATAATATTCTTCAATCTCTTTATGTTTTGCTAGGCCGCAAAAATATCAGACACACCGACGATGCTTTCCACGCATTACCACTAAATGTGCCAAACTCGTCACAAAAATTAATTTAAAAAAAGAAAAATATTCATAAAAAGAAAAATCTATATCTCACACTGTCCGGTTCATTAAAATCACATTCATTCATTATTATTCATTTATTTATTTATTTATCATTCTCATATTTAGTGTGTTCAATAACTATTGGCCACGAAGTAAAAGCTTTTTTTCTGTGATGATGACGTGCATGTTCTTGAACATATCGAGTATTACCGGCGAACTCCCTCATTGCCGGCGGCGATAACCCAACCTCCCGTCTACATGGAACTGTAATAACTTTCCTTTTTCAAAAGGTAAAAGTCTCGCCTTTACATTCTTTCCACATACCGTCATTTACGTTCTCTCACGTTCCTGGCGCGTCGTTCACAGTCATTTTTGTTGGGAACTAGGTTCCCTCAAGCTCGGCTCAGGGGCTTTTTTTGCGGAAGTCAGTCAGCAAAATCCTGATCTCGAAAATAACTCAACCTGAACTTCACCAGGTCAGGTAACGCAGCGGAAAATCAAAACGCAAACAGGAGAGAGAACACAAGCAGTTTTTAACGTGAAAAAACTTTCTCCAATGAAAAAGTAAAAACTCACGGGACCTGGTTCAGATCAAAAATCCACTATGAAAATAATGGTTACAAATAATCAAATTCACCAATGTGATGGTTAACTCAACTTCTCCAACAATGGTGATAATCAAACCTCCCTAGGGATGTTTCACTCAAACTCTCTAGAGATTTCTCAAATACAAAGCATAAAACTTTGCTCAAATCTCTCAAATAATTTTTTCTCAAATTTCTAATCTCTCTTAATCTCTAACCTAGCATCCACCCACAACTAATGAATATATAGAGGAGGTGGGATCTAGGTTTAGGGTTTTTAGGAAATCCTTCAATGAGCTTGGGCTTACCATTGAAGGAGGAAGCCCAACAAATCTTCCCTCTGACTTCAATGCGTCGGCTTTAGCATCAACCCGACTCCTTCACAGCAGTCTTCAAATTTCCTTGTTGGAACCGGCTTCGTCATCATGTCGGACCAATTTTGGTCAGTGTGCACTTTGACGAGTTCGAGCTCTCCACCTTCCACCACTTCCTGGATCCAGTGATACCTCACATCAATGTGCTTAATGCGGGAGTGATAGGTCGAATTCTTTGCAAGATGGATTGCGCTTTGATTGTCACAACCAGCTCGTACTTGTCTTGATCATGGCCGAGTTCCATGTGGAACTTCTTCATCCACAACATCTATTTGCTTGCCTCAGTAGCAGCAATGTACTCAGTCTCAGTTGTCGATAGTGCAACACATTTCTGAAGTCTTAATTGCCAAGAGACAGCTCCTCCGACAAATCTCATCATGTATCACGTCGTCGATTTCCTCGAGTCGGAATCTCTCCGTAAATTAGAATCCGAGTAGCCTTGCAACTCGGCTTTGCCTTCTCCAAATCGGAGGCATAAGTTGGTCGTACCTCGGAGGTACTTGAAGATTCACTTCACTGCTTCCCAGTGCTCTTTGCCGGGGTTTGACAGATACCGGCTTACCATTCCAACAGCATATGCCAAGTCGGGTCTAGTGCAAACCATTGCGTACATCAAGCTTCCGATGACGGATTGGTACGGGATCTTCGGCATCTCATCTTTGTCTTCATCAGATCTCGGACATAGTTTCTAGTTCAGCTTTATGTGTCCGACTAAGGGGGTGCTCACTGTTTTAGCTTTGTCCATGCTGAATCTCTTCAAGATCTTCTCAATATATTTCTCTTGATTCAGCCATAGTAGTTTCTTTTGTCTATCTCGGATAATCTTGATTCCGAGAATCTGCTTTGCAAGGCTGAGGTCCTTCATTGCGAAGGACGAGCTCAGCGCCTTTTCCAGGGAGGCTATCCTCGATTTGTCTTTCCTTACAATAAGCATGTCGTCAACATATAACAACAAAATCAAAAAATCTCCGGCCTCATACCTCTTCACAAAATCAAAGCTCGTGTTCCTTCAGGCAACTCGGTCAGCTCATAAGTCTGATTCTCGTGCAAAGACTTTATCTCGTCTTGCATTGCCTTTTCCCATTCTTCTTTCTCTGAGCTCGTCACAGCCTCATCATAACTCTGAGGCTCACCGTCTTCAGCAACAACAGTGTATTCATCAGATGGGTATCTTGTATAAGGTCTTCTTTCTCGAGCTGGATATCTCGGCTGTTCTTCAGCTTGATAACTCGGTTCATCATTCTCATCCCCGATCTCATCATCAATTCGGACCTCATCATCAGCTTGTTACTGGTCATCAATTTCTTCATTCTCTTGATTTTCTCCCCTTGCTTCAGCTCGGACAGGAGGGATGGGTTCTTCATGTCTGACAGTAACCCGGACTTTGGGCTTCAAGATGTCATGAATGTTCTCAATCTCATGAAAGATCACATCTCGACTTCTCACTATCTTCTTATTAATTGAATCCCAAAGTCGGAACCCGAACTCACATCTCGGCGAACCAAGAAAGATGCATTCTTTTGTCTTCGCATCGAGTTTTTCCCTTTCATCTTTAGGGATATGCACGAAAGCTCGGCATCCAAACACCTTCAGTTGATTATAGGCTGCTTTTCGACCTGTCCAGACTTCTTATGGAATTTCTCCTTCAAGTGGTCGTGATGGTGAGAGGTAGATCAAGTCAACAGCAGTTCTAACGGTTTCTCCCCAGAATGATTTCGGTAACCCGACATTGGATAACATGCTTCGTACCTTCTCTTCAATTGTTCGGTTCATCCTCTTAGCCAGTCCATTCATCTGTGGAGTCTTGGGGGGCGTCTTCTCATCACCATTGTCAGATCGGACCACCTTCAATTTCTTGCCAGTCTCCCTTTCAACCATAGCATGAAACTCTTTAAAGGATTGGAGTACCTGGTTTTTAGACTTCAATAAATATACCCACACTTTGCGGAAATGGTCATCAATAAATGAAACAAAGTACTGAGCTCCTCCAAGGGATCTTTCCGACATGGAGCAAACATCAGTATAGACGAGGTCAAAAATATACCTACGTCGTCTGGGTTGATCCGGTCTCACAAAAGAAACCCGGTGCTGCTTTCGAGCTAGGCAGTGCGTGCAACTCTTCAACACTTGGCCTTTCAACGCGGTCAATAATCCTTTCTTGTTCAGGATTTGGAGTCTTTTCTCGCTCATGTGGCCGAGGCGCTTGTGCCATAGCTCCAAGCTAGGTTCATCTCGGACAGAATTGGCTTCTCTGCCATTAATCTTTCCTTGCATCACATACACGGAGCTTTCTTTTTTACCTCGGGCCACGACCAAGTTTTTCTTGGCCAACTTCCATCACTAACCCGGCATCATCAAGCTTGCCTACCGAGATTAGGTTCAATCGCATGTCAGGATTATGCTTTACATCTTTCAGCACAAGTCGACACCCAACATCCGTGGTCAGGGTTACATCACCGACACCAACAATCTTGCTGGTCACTTGATTTCCCATCTTCACGACTCCAAAATCACCACCTCGATAAGAGGAGAAAAAACCTTTGTGTGGAGTAACGTGGAAGGAGGAACCGGAGTCAACACTCCAGGTGCAGTCATCATATGCAACATTCAAATAATTATCCTCACCAAGGAGGAATATCTCGGCATCCGGGTTGGCAGCCACCACAGTGATGCTCTTGTCTTCCTTCTTCTTGGGAACAATCTAATCCGGGTTCACAGAGCCGTTCTTATCGTCATTCTGTAGTGTCCAACAGTCTGGCTTCTTATGACCTATCTTTCCACAGTAGAAGCACTTCAACTCATATCTCGGCTTTGACCGACCTCTGAACATTCCTCTTCTATAACGATCTCGACCCCGACTCTTGCTTCTACCCCGGGAGTCGGATTTCCCTTTGTTCTCAGCAACGTTGGCCTCAGACGTGCTTGAAACACCTCGTTCTCTTCTCCTGGCTAACT